TTAGATTCATCTTACTGAAATGAGTCTAATGATATAAAAATTATTTAATTCTAATTACTAAATCATAAGATATACTTTTTAAAGATCAAATTTTAAAACTGCCTACTGCCTTGTTTTGTTGTGGGGGTTCCCATATATAATATTTTTTAATATTATTTTAACATAAATATTTTTTGTTAAGTTTTTTTAAACTGAGTTTTAAATGTAAGTTTATTAAATCTTTAGTAGTTATTCTTCAGTTCCTATGTAGGATTCAAATTCTATTTCATAAGTACAAAAATGATCTTTATATCTCTCTAACTGAAATTTTAAAACGCATTTAATATTTCTAACTTGGCAAAGATTAATTATTTCTCTCTAACTGCTTTTTTGTTTTTCTAAATTGTAATTCTCTGATGATCTTACTATTTTTATATATCTTAAATATTTAGCTTTTTTAATAAATTTTCTTAAATTTGAAAGAAATGTATAAACCTAACCTTTTATTCATTTAGTTTTGAAAATATCAACTTAGAGATACTGTGACTTAATACATATTTTATTGTAAATTAGTTGTTTTTATAATTTCTTTTAGTTTATTAATACAATTCTCTTTAATATTCAATTATATATATATAAATTTTAGATAAAAGCTAAAAAATAAAAATGTTAAAAGAATATTGAAGAAAGTTTTAGAGAGAAGTAAATATGTCAAGATAATAAATATGTCAGAAAAATGAAGATATTAAAGGAATGTAATTGTCCCGAAAATAAATTTTAGGAATACGTATAGATTTTGTTCAAACTTCCTGTTAGATATAAATGATTTGGCTTGTATCAAAAATTCAACAATAGTTAACAAAATTTAAGATAAGTATATGTGTGGATTCAAGAAATTTGTATTACGATTATAATAGAATCTTTTACTAATATTTATGTATTTAATTTTATTAGGATCGATTTATGATTATTAAAAGGGCGTGAACAATAATTTATAAGAAACACATTTGGCATATATTGAATTTGAGTCTTTATTAGAATAAATAAAACATAGAAAAATACAATTATACTAATAATACTAACTAAAACTAACTTTATACTATCGGTATTATTTAGATATATTAACATGAAAGTCATTAAGGGAAGTTGTTTTCTAACTTAAGGGAGTTCGACCGTCCTTATCATTTTCTTTACCTTGATAGTTCAAAACTTTTACTTGGTAATTTTTAACTTTTGTATATTAGTTACTAACTTTTTATCTTCTTTACTTTAGTTATTAACTTATTTACCAGTTATTATCCAACTTTAATAGTTCAAAACTATCAGTAAATCCAATTTTGAAACCCTCAATTTATGTAGCTTACTATTTTCATATCACAGACCCCAAAATTAAAGTATACAAATAAGAAAAATAGAAATTTTTATTGAATTTCCATTTCGGGCAAAACAACGCATATCGATATTGATATTGTCACAGTTTTTTTTAGAAAAAAATCATGACTTGTAGTAACGAGAATGTATATACTGTAAGGCTGGATTGTGGCAAAAGCTTAGAAGTTCAGATCTGTACAAATAATTATTCATTATTTTTGTTTAATTCTATATCTATAGATTCTTTTTATTTGTTTATTATTGTAAGGCCCAGGGTTTAGGTCTGGAAAAGCTTAGGAATATAATAGTAAAATCGGCTTAGAAGATATAGGTCTGGACGGGCTAAGGTTGGATGAAAAGATAACATTAGAATAACAAAGTATAAAGCTAGACTTCAGTAGTGTAATTTGTAGTAAGTCTTTTATGTAATTTGAAAGTATAAAAGAGCTGCCTTTTCGCTCTTCAAATAAAGCTTAGATTTTCAATATCTTTAATATAGAAGTATTAAGAATTGATTTCTCGAATTGATGTTATAAGATTATTGTTGTATTGTTGTATTTATTTTATATTTTATTTCTCTTATTTTAACCGTTAAAATTCTTAACGATCATATTATACATTTTATTATTACTCTATTCCTTTATTACCTTATAAATATTGACCCTTATTATCGGTTGTATTGATTAGCTATCGATATTACTGATTTATTTAATTACAATTACATAACTTGATTTATTTACTTGATTGATTACCGGTAGATATAATTAAGTGCCCGATCTCGGATTAATTACATAAACTTACGTGCTTAAGTTATTACTATAATCGACTTTATTTATTATTACATTACTTTGAGTTCTATACAAAGAATATATAAGTTAACTATTGAAGTTAAATTGTGCTGATAGTTCTATAAGCTCTCCCAAAACAATAGTAATATTTGGTGCCAATTGTGTGGATTGAAAAAGATATTCACGTTAAAGAAAATATAGATTTAGATTTGAAATGTCTATTAACCAACAACCCCAACAGCTAGCCAATTGAATCCAAATAATCCTCTACATAATTTAGCTAACCAAATTGCCACTTTGGTCAGCAAATGCAGACTACACCACTACCGCAAGTTAATGTTCCTGCTAATTCTCGGGAACTTAATACTATACCTTACCCTGAATTTCATGGAGGAGATCAAGATCCTATAACTTGGCTTGAAGATGTTGATAAAGCCTTCGAAGCCAATCTTATATCACCACTTTGGAAGATTTCTGTGATTGTTCCAATGCTTAAAGGCTCTGCTGCAACTTGGTAGGTTACAAGAAGAAATCAGCACCCCATAATCAATTGATGGCGTGACCCTCTGGTACCTCAACAGAGTTTTACTACTCATTTTATAAACAAATTCAGGACCCCTGAGTTGGAAGAGAAATGGTTTGCACAGTTAACCCAAAAGAAACAGTTGCTAGCTGAAAGCGTGGATGAATATCACACAGCAATTGAAGAAATGCTTCGATGAGTAGAGTCAGGCGGGAATCAGTACCCTAATATGGCTAAAGCACAAATGTTTATTAATGGACTTCATCCTGAATTGTTTATAGCCGTATTGTCTTTAACCTCTAATTCATTAGAAGAAGCATATACCAGAGCAAAGGTATTTGAGAATGCTTATAAACAGAATTCTGTTCAAACTGCTTATGCAACTTCAACAGTATTTCATTCTCCTTATAGTTTTCCTGGAATCCCAAACCTTAACCTCATAGTTCAAATAAAATAGCTGAGGCTTTGAAAACTTTAACGAATTCAATCGATAAGCTTATGACTCAACTTCAAGATCAGCAAAGGTCACCATCTAGATCTCGGTCTGGAAATTTTACCCCATCTACTGTAACGTGTTTCACTTGTGGCCATACTGGACATTATAGTCAAAATTGTCTTGATCTACCTAATAATCATAACTCTTCAGCTAATAATCGGCCACCTATAGTTAATAATAATAATAATCCCAGTGTTAATAATAATAATAATTCTACTCTTAACAGAAATGACCCTCAAGAAACTCTGCAAGCCTTATTGGCATTAATGAATAATAATCCAGACATTTTTAATAATGCTGGGATCAAACTTTGTATTTAGGAATTTCTGAAGATGAGTCATTATTTTTACTAGCAGAAAGGCCTATTCATCCCAAGCCTATAGTAAATATGCCAATTATTAGGAAAAAGTCAACTGGAACGAAAACAACTGATTTAATCGATCTTGAAGAAGGAGAGAATACTAAAGATCTAGACGTAGAAATGGAAGAAGTTTATAAAGATCATAAAGGTCAAGGATTACAAAACCTGGTTACTCAAAATCAAAACCAAGACCAAGACGAATCTGCCAAACTACTTGAGGTAAAGAAGGTTGAACTGCCTAAAGTAAATAAAAAGAAAGAAGATGTAAAAGTGGGTCAAAAGAAGGTTCCTGTTATTTGACGAAGGAATATTGTGGTGGATGATTTACCCCAAATCTCTTCTTTGGTCACACCATATTCGATAGTAGCCGATGTAAGGGATAAACCTGCCAATATATCTATCGAGCAATTGTTATAAGTTACATCATCTATGAGACAAGAATTATCACGATCCTTACAAAAGAAAAGAGTCGTAAGTCGTAAAAAGGCTCAAGCCAATGTTATATACAATCTACCTTAAAATCAATGGCTTTATATTGTGACACTAAGGTTTACACTGAGTAATTCCATTAATTGTCAATAGCAGGTCTTCTGAAAGTGTTGTTACTACCCATTTAATGAATGATTTTGGTATAAGAATCAAACGGCTATCGGTAGTAAATATGGTTAACATCCATGGAGAGAGCAAGCATGCTATTGAAGAAATTTCCAATTTTCCATTCAATATCGGTGGTGTTGAAATCCCGATCAATGTAGTTGTAACTGATGCCGGTTCGTATTGTGCTATTGTAGGAAATGACTGGTTAGCTAAAGTTAAGGCAGCCATCGATTGGAACAGGTCTGAGATAACTTTGGTCTGGGATGATAAAGAAATTGTTGTTCCAGTTGAG